CTTTGGTGTGTGGACTAGAATGCTCTAGGTGGTATACGAGCTAATTCTAGTCATATTTTTTGAGCATCACTTTTTCGTTTTATTCTTCCGTTCTTTTTCCATCATCATTACTAGGAAGCTTTCTGAAGTGTATGTTTCAAGGGTATTCATTGGTTTCTCCTGCTTTCTTCTTCATTCCGTTTATTTGACATCTACAGCTTGATTTTTGAGTGGAAAATCCGCAAGCGGTCAACCGTGTGCTACATTCTTTACTTGCTGTCAAACTGGAACGGAAAGAGCTGTACCTCCTCGAACCTGCTTTTCGATTCCTTTCGAAACTATCACGGAAGTCCCCTTGCCTTTATAAGACAAGTAAAAAAGCGGTGTGGAACGAGAAAAATCATGTATATATCTATGTATGTTCTACCATACCGTATCACGTAAGGAGGGCACCATCCACACAAGGCTTTTCCTGTACGGATTGAGATTACAAAAGGTAATCGCTGGGAATTCGATATTATCGAATTTCATCTGAAAATAAAACACTCAGGCCCCGTTCATAGCCTGAGACATCTGCTATGAGGCGATAAGGCGATGAAGCGATTGACAGCACGTTCGCAGAAGGGATGCACGCATCGCGACGCGTCAGCCTAATTTATCAATGTTAAAAGAGGAAAAACAACGCAAAATGGAAGGACTATCAAAAGCACAATATATAACGCTATACGTCAATAGAATAAATCTTGAAAAACAATAATAGCAGTAGCAGCAACAAAAACAAGATTGTTGGTTTATCCATGGATTTGAATCGCCCCTATCGACACGTATCAAATCCTTCCACGCTTATCGGCTTAGCACCACATTGCATCTTCGCCTCCCGTGAGATGTCGGTCAGACTCTGCGATTGCATCGCGACGCGCAATCGCTCTGCCAAAAGTGCAAGCGGCGGGCAATGGCCCGCCGCGATCGATACCGATGTCGACTGCATCGATGTGGGGCGAGGGCGGGCCAGTCGCCCCGCTTGCATTGCGCGATGCAATCGCTCTAGGCAGAGCGATTGCATCGCGATGGACAAGCGATGGAGCGATCGCGTCGCTCCGGCACTGGTCCATCGCGATGCAATCGCCGAGTCTGACCGACATCTGATCGCTGAATGCAGACGCTATCTCGCATGTGACGCCACAGCGCGGAGTCCAGTCGATCGATGGGCACTAACTTCATTCGATAGAATCGCTCGATCGCACCATCGCCTCTTCGCATCATAGCCGAAGTCTCGAGCTATGAACGGGGCCTCTCTAGGGCAGTAGTAATATGTATGTAAAACAAATGACGAGATTATTTACCTACCGATATGGTTGTGATTTTTTCATGCTTTCTGTATTTTATGACCAGTATGGCGACTTGAAAGATGAACACTGCTATCAGAAGTACAAGAAGTGTTATCCAAAAAACTCTGCTGAGGCTGCTGTTAGCGATAAGAATGCGCTTAGGTCCAGGTGCACTGCTCTCTTTAGCGAAATCCTTGAATTTGTCCTTCATAGCTTCTTCGTCGCTCGATTCGGCACTGAAATCCGTTGGAAAATGGTTCTAGGTCAAGACATAAGTAATGTGAGTTTTGATGCCGATTTTAAAACAAGTTATATTCCTTAACAGCTATTTTTGATGTGTGGCAATCACCACAGCTGCCCTCAGCTGTCCTGTATTTACAAGTGAGTGGACAACAATCCCCCAAAATTGTACTGCCTTGAAAACGAGGAAGGAACAGAGGCCCCTTCTAGTTGTCATATCGGCATTTTTTCATCAAGAACCAGGCAGTATCGACAATTGGCGATCATTAGCAAAAGATCAAGCGAATACAAAGGAGAAGGTGAGCTGCTAGACCAAGTTCAACTACTTCCGCAAACGCAAGCAGCGAGTACCAGTAATTCATTAGCTTCACTACCATCATCTTCAAGTTTATAGTGATGCGCTTCACAAAACGGAGAAATCACTTGCTTCAGATAAATGACACCTTTCGCAGCCCTCTTTCACGGTTAGCTGCACGTGTCCACTGTCGCCTTCAGGCCGATGTCAGACTTTGCGAATCGCGCGATTCGCTAGCGTCCGCGGTCGCGTTGCGGTACCAGCCAATTGAGTGATTCACTGGCCGCGACGCGACCGCAGACGCTAGCGAATCGCGCGATTCGCAAAGTCTGACATCGGCCTACTTGGCCTACGTATGCTGCCCGCTCCTCAACTTCCACGTTGACTACCCGCAAAGGAGGGTCAGTGAGAGTCCAGAATATTGTCAATGCGGCAGGCTCACGGAGAGCTCCTTAAACCTCTCGAAGGCAACTATCGGCAATACAGCCCTTTTATCCAACGCATCAGACCTTTAGCGTAAACAAGCTATACAGGGGTGGCCAAAAAGAGACACTTTGCCCATGGCGCACATCATCGAACTTTTCGTCGCACAGGGTGCCGATGTTAATGAAAGTTTTACGGCGGAATATTCCTTAGGTGTTCCCCCGTAAACAGAAGCAGGCCCTCCTTCACTGCCCCGCCGTCTTCAGAATATGACGTCATCTGCCGCCACCGTCGAGCTCAACGAGGCTTACCGTAATCGCTCCGGTCTGAGCTGCTTCACGATTTCTTCAAATGGGTAGTGTGGATACGCTTTCAGAAGACATTTTAGCTGTACCTGACTATGCGAAACGCATTTGACAGCGTATTCAGGAATCGTTATCGGCTCTATACGGTACCGTCGACGACCTCTGGTAGGCTCATTCCGCATCCACGTTTCCGTGGTAAAATCTTCTAGATCTTCGTCCGTATGTAAAAGGTTGCCCATGATAACGGGTAGATGAGATTGAAATGTGCTCTGTTTAATAATAAAGTTGGTGCAGTCATTGTGATGTTAAACAAAGTTGAATTCAATGATGAATGAATTGAATGATTACTGACCGAACAGTTGGATGGAAGTGTTCTTTTGTTGGACCACCTGTATTATCAGCAAGTTCGCCTAGCGAGTGTCTCGGTGAGAAACTTGTAAGGCCGATGTCAGACTTTGCGAATCGCGCGATTCGCTAGCGTCCGCGGTCGCGTTGCGGTACCAGCCAATTGAGTGATTCACTGGCCGCGACGCGACCGCAGACGCTAGCGAATCGCGCGATTCGCAAAGTCTGACATCGGCCTAAATAGACAGCGAATGAATATGCGTCGGAATGGACGGCACACTACACCGTAGAAATGACTACAGATAGTCCGTTACCTAATAAGGGAGAATTTTAGTTTGCCACTACGCACAGATTAGAATAACAACAAGGCAACAGTAGTTGCGCAGCGCGTTCTGGATTGGGGCAGAAAATTTTGGAACCATTGTACGCTGCCATACCATAATACACGTTGAGCGGTTAGCATTTTTCTTCGCGATTACATGTTCACAAAAACGATGCATAAAAGTATCTTTGATAATCTATTATATAAGTCTTACGTGTCAGAAGAACCTGAAACGAATCCTTCTGACTCTCCTAGCTCAACTCAACAGAAGCTAGGACTTAGCCGAGTTTTTTGTAGCCTTAGATTTGTTTGTTCCTTTGTTAAACGCATAAAGAGTGGTAGTTACCGAGTTGGCTTATGGAAGATTTTAGCGCAAACACCGCAGCATCGATTCGAGCCCCTCACAGATGATCGGTGGTTATTTTTCGAATTGTTCTCCTGGAATCAATAAGTTTTACAGAGCTAGACTTGAAACATCATGTTTAGAATTAAAACTATTAACAATTGAATTTGCCATCATTCAATTCGCAATGCACTATATAAATTAAAGCGGCAAGCTTTGCGGTACGAGGCCAGCTCTACCAGGAAGGTCTTTCAGGGCGTGCCAAGCTTTTTGAAAACGGTCTTTTGCATGATATAGGGGCACATGCGGGAACCACAGAACCATGGTTAATTTTTCCTGAACGGCCCTCTGAATACCAGAAAAGGGGTCCCTAGTTCGATTCCTCGTGGTGACAAATTTTTGCATTTCGAGTTGACGTTCCAAAATTCGCGCAAAATGGAGTTAGCATGAATAATTAGTACCATATTCATGATTAGGACCGTCAGTAACCCTACAAAAAGACTTTGACTTAAAAATTGGTGTAAGAGGTGTGACACCAAGCAGCCCCACTGTGGTGTCACACCTTTTTCACCAGTTTTTTAATCAAAGTCTATTTGTAAGGGTTACTGACGGTCCTAATCATGAATATGGTACTAATTATTCATGCTAACTCCATTTTGCGCGAATTTTGGAACGTCAACTCGAAATGCAAAAATTTGTCACCACGAGGAATCGAACTAGGGACCCCTTTTCTGGTATTCAGAGGGCCGTTCAGGAAAAATTAACCATGGTTCTGTGGTCCCGCATGTGCCCCTATATCATGCAAAAGACCGTTTTCAAAAAGCTTGGCACGCCCTGAAAGACCTTCCTGGTAGGTGCAAGCTTGTCATCAAAAACTATGAAGTTCGGTTCAACGCCCCTCCATGGTGTAGGCTTCTTGTGATGCTTGGGCGAGCGCGGACCAATAAATGCATCACAAAAAAAAACATTGATTTACATTTGAACAATCGACCGAATAAATCGCACTGCATTTTGTAGTTCGACTCGTTTCTAAGTTATCTTGACATGACTTAGGATTGGCCAGCACTTTTAGCATACATTATACGAAGTTTTACGGCCAATGTCAGCTAGGCGATGTCAGACTTTGCGAATCGCGTCTGCGGTCGCGTCGCGGCCAGTGAATCACTCAATTGGCTGGTACCGCAACGCGACCGCGGACGCTAGCGAATCGCGCGAATCGCTAGTAGCGAATCGCGCGATTCGCAAAGTCTGACATCGGAAATATGTAGACTGGATAACATTGGATAGCATGTAGTAGAGTGTAGGATCAAACAGATAGAAGATAACTACAATAAATGGATGAAGGCAATTCAAATAAAGCGAAAACAACACAAAAACAATCGGAATGAAATGCAGCACTACTAGATCTATTAGATAAATTGCATACCTTAGATTAAGCTTGGTCGCGTACCTGTGCAACATTCCAGCGGGTGCGCTGGAATAAGTCGAAACTACGGTTGACCAATATTCTCATCGTCAGTCTATGACAATGGGACGTCCGAGCTCCGCCGCTACAGTAGACCGTGGCCTACAGACCCGTGCCTCTCACATTTCTTCCGACTAAATGTTCGGCGGAACCGCCTCCTCCCAGATCGGACTTTACACTCCATGCGTGGTGAGTCAACATCATGGATCAAGGATTCATGGCACTTCCAGCCAGAATGTTTGATTCGGAATGTTGTAGACAATCATTCAAGTTGAGCATCATCACCACAACAATTGGGTGAGCTGTGTTGTTATGAACTTTTTTTCAGAGCTGGCATTTTTTGGGGAAGTAAACAGTTTCAAGGCCCTCGTTTAGCAACCGGTCAGGCCAATAGCCTCACACTGATAGCACACTGGGCCAAAACTAGCTAACTTTGAGCTCCTTCCGTACTTCTTCCAGTGGAGCTTGGCGAGAGTCCAAACTGCGTTTATCGTTTGAGCAGACCTTTGCTTTCAAGCTACAGATGACAAAATTTGATGATTCAAATAAAACGATTCAAATGATCAAATATTCATCGACGGTCACGTCATGCAACACCGACGTCGATTTTGTGGCAGATGCCATCAAAGTCTGACGTGCACGCTGTCATCATTTTCCCATCCATTTTTTCGCGCATGCGTGACTTCCTCCCGACTTTTTTCCAGGTTTTTTTTGATTCACTTCATAGACAATACACTTAAAGGAATCCTTCACGGAAAAATTCATGATTCTATTTCAGCCATAAATCACTGGCTTGAGACTCATTATCCACGATAATAGTGAAAAGAACCGAAGTATTGCTTTCGTTTT